TCTCACTTTTTTTCTCTCATGAAATATAATAGTTCTCATGTTCATTTTTGTTTGCATTTATTTCTGTGTGGTTTTTGTTGTTGTCGTTGCGACTCACACAGTTTCGCTTTTATTGCATTTATGTTTTCTCGCTGCTTCTCCCTTCTTTTTCCAACGGTTTGCTGTGAGAGTGAGTGTGTATGGTAATGCAAAAGTATGCAACTAGGCAGGCAGGCTGACAGGCAATAGAGTTCTTCTTCATCCCTGTCGCCTGGTCTTAACCTAAATAGAGCATGGCTGCTTTAAGGTTGTTGACCCAAATTGCAAAGTGCAATGAACTCCCGCACGCTCGAATGGCTGGCTGTGTGACAGGCAGAACTTCAGTCAGCCAGTGGAATAGAGACACACAAACACATGCACACCACCACCATTATCATGCACAATGTGCATTTGCTATTTTTATCTCTGAGCATAAAACTCCCCTACTATTAGGCAAGGGATTTTCTATGCAACCCACATGGGGGATAGGTTGCAAATGATGGGTCTGTGAGCACATCATGTCATCCCTTAAAAAAGTGCTAAATAAAAGAGAGTTGTTTTTTCTTCTTCGTTCGTTCGTTCGTTTCACATTCACTTGAGTTTCAAGTGCATTTTCGGTCATTCACCTTTTTGGCGGATGGTGTACTATTTGCAGTTGTTGTTGTTTTGCTGAGGAACAACACCACTTGACACACTTACATAGTTGAAAATGTGTGTGTGAGAGAGAGTGTAGAAATGTTTGCATCAAGGATTTATTGTAATAAAAATTGGAAAATTGATAGGAAAAATTTTTTGAAATAAATTATATTATTAAAAAATATTTTTTTTAAGAAAATAATTTAAAAATAAATATTTGTATTTTTTTAATCTAAAGTTTTTAATTTGGTAAATTTATATAAAAGGAAAAATATTAATAGCAATTTTAATTTGCCAATTTAACAATTTTAATTTATTTATTTTCTTTTAATTTTTTATTTATTTTTTTCTATTTAAGTAATTTTTTATTTATTTTAATTTTTTCGTATTTTTTTAATTTAGAAAATTTTATATCAAAGGAAAAATTTTCTTAGAAATTTTAATTTGACAAATAAAAATTTTAATTAATTTTTTTATTTTATTTCAGTTTTTTATTTTTTAATCCCTTAAATTTTCTATTATTTTTAAATACATATTTTATTTAATTTTTGTAGCATATCCCCTCAATTACAAATTCTCAAAGCAATAGTACCTGTGTATTATTATTTGCCCCCATAAATTCTAGTCCTAGCACAACCATTAAACTACAAAACATTGTGGCACACACACAGTAAGCACAGCAGCAGCAACAACAACAATTCACACAGCCATGCAAAACCAAACAGAGCAAAATATAGAGAGGGAGATACACACTCTCTGTGTGCTCCCCATCTCACTACACCACCATTCTCCCATAGAAAGAAGAAGGAAGTAAAATTGAATTGTTTGGCCCATATGCACGTACGCATGCACACACACACACACACACAATGAGGAGCTCGGTCCACCACACATTATGAGAAGCATTACAGAAACAAAACGACAGAGTTATCTCTCTCCCCATTTGAACAGACTTGTTGTTATTTTCATGTATAAGGCAAATCTCTCCACATTACGAGAGAGAGACAGAGTCGCGAGTCGCCACTCGTTTTAAAAACGAATAGTGGCTCGCTATGGTACAAAAGAACAAACAACAACACATTAACTCTCCGTTGTAGTGTAGTATTTCTCGTGTAAGAGCAATACACAGCAAAAAAATAACCAACGACGACGACAATAATAACAACAACAACTAAAATACCACTACTACGCGTTGACATTGAACGAGTTCATTCACATTACGGGGCTCTGGTCAATTACCGAGCCAATGCTGCTGGCTGGCTGGTGTGGTTGTTCATGTTGTTGGTCTTTCGTTCGGGTTTATTTCGTTCATTCGTTCTTACTGTTGAACGAGCATAAATGGCATGGCTATTGATGATGGTATGTTAACTATGTGTGTATGTTCGTGTGTGTGTGCCTCAGTGTTTTTATGCTGTGTGGTAATTTTTGTGTGTTGGATTGGTGTTGTTTTTTTGCTGTTCATGTTGAAAACATAATAAAACATAAACCAGGCGAAAAATAAGAACAAAGCAAAAAATAAATAACAATCAGAACACAACACAATTTTTTAATAGTCATTGGCTGAGAAACAAAATACGACTTGAAATAAACACACATACGCACGCACACACGTATACCTCCCTTAAAGAAGATAAAACCAGTGTTATGATTTTGGAGGTTTTTGATACCTTAAGAAATAATTTAAGAAAAAAATAACAAAAATAGAGGAGAAAAAATTACGTACACCATAAGGTAACAATTAGAATGTAGCAACTAGGAAGTACAAATTGTGGTTAATGAAAGGGAATAGGTAAAACAAAAATTAAAAATATTAATGGAAAATTTCCAAAAAAAAATAAAAAATTAAACAAAAATGAAAGGAAATTTTTAATGATAAAATTAGAAAGAATTTTTTTGTTATTTTTTTTTTAATTTTTTAGAAATTTTAAATTTATTTATTTTTTTCTCAGTTAAAAATTCTTAGTCTATTATTATTTTTTTTTTCTTATATGAAGTTCCTTGGTTTTCATATTTTTTTCTTAAATTTTTAAAAAGGATTTTTTCATTTTTTTATTACTAATTTTAAATTAGTTTGTTAATTTTTTATTTCCTTATTTTTTTTTTAATTTTTTTTTCGATTTTTTATTTAATTTTTTCTTTATTTAAAAAATTTGACATTGAAAAGTTCCAGTCCAGTTCATTGCCTTTGATTTCTTCGTCTGTCTGTCTCGCCAAAGGAGGTTAAAACGAGAAAAGGCTCATGCCAAAAAAACGAAACTGATTCATTGTCGGAGTGGTCGTTCGTCTTTACATCCAGCCAACCATCCATCCAGTCATCGTTTTCTCCCGAGTTGTTGTTTTCTGCCAACCACAACAATGACTTCGATCATGCTGATCAAAGGCAATGATATGTGGCAGCAGCAGCAGCAGCCGACAACAACGTTTTTTTATTCTCCAAGTTGTTGTTGTTGTTGCTGCTGCTGGACAACCTTGAAAAAGTAGTTTGCCCTATTCCCTTATATATTCCAACGAATGGGAGGACTTTGTTTTATATTTATTTATACATCGTCATCACCATGCATGATCATGGATTCCCACCTCCCTCCTTCTCATCATCATCATCACCGTGATCGTGTTATACTACATTGTTGTGGCTGTGTATTGTTTTTGTATGAAAGCAGCAGCAACAACAGACATGTCTCTCAGGTCTACTTTGAATGCCTGCCACTCCCTTTGTAAGTGTGTGCATGTGTGTTGGTCTCATGACGTCCTTGATTTCGGTTAAATCATCATGGCCAAGCGAAATTTCCCTTCTGCTGGCAAAGTTCTCTCCCATGTTCTATTTATTCCCTCTTTTTGATTTAAGAGCCGTGTTTTTGTTGTTATTTTTTTTCAACAAGAACACAACAAACTGCGTCATGATCACGACATTCTATATTAGGTTCAGGGACTTTTGTTTTTTTTTTGTGCTTGGTCGTTGAGAACCCTTTTTAAATGATTACCACAAGTGTGTGTTGAGTTGTGTCTATCTGTTTGTGTTTAGAAAATTAAACCACCCCAACCTTTTGTTGTTGGTTGGTCAGTCTACAAAAAAGGGAGAGAGGCTGCTACGCAATACAGGATTTGCAAAACAAAACAAAATAACCCTACAGACCGCCGCCATATGTGCGTGCTATTGATCTCATTGTCTGAGCTTAAAGTTCAAGGTTAACACACAGCTTTTGTTATTATCCAAGGCTAAACAAAAAAGGGATTTTGGCACATTGAAACATGTCCACCGTATAAGAAAACAAAAACAACAAACGAAAATCACATTATGAGCTTAGGTGATTATTTCAATTAAACACAACTCTCCCTCCTCTCTCTCTATCACCTCTATTACACTTCGTTGGCCGCAATGACGAAAGTGCGTGCGTGCTTTCGTGCGTATTGTTTACGTACGATGGCTTGATCGTGTGTTTTGTTATTGTTTATGGCTGTGTGTGTTGTGCTTGCTTAAATCATGTTTCCTGATTTCATCTTATTGTTGTTGTTTTCTCACTGTTCATGAAATAATTTGCCATTGTTTGGGGAGTTTTGTTTTTCAATGAATCTGTGTGTTGAGTGTTTGTGTGTGATTGCTTGCTTGTTGATCGTAAAGGGTTCTTATTGCCCGGGCCAAATGGCCTTCAATAAATATATTGACCTTTATTTTAATAGAGTATTTATTGCTGGGTTGGTTGGTTGTTGGTCGTTATGTCTGGAAGTGGGTTTTGTTTTATGAAGGAGAATTGTTTTTTGTGGCATAATGGAATTAATCATTAATTTTAAATGGGAATCAGACTGAAGTAATGTGCAAAATAAAAATTGATTATCTCTTTAGTAAATTGCATAATCTTCCGGGTTGTGGAAGGGAAAAAATAATTCCCAAAATTAAAAAAAAATAAAAATAAATAACGAAAAATTAAAAAAAAATTTCTCAAAAATTAAAAAATATATAGTACAATTATAAATAAAAAAAAATAAAAATCTTAGCGTCAAAAATTTCTAAACCTTAGAAATCAATTAAATTTTTTAAAAAAAATAAAATTTCCAATTGGAAAAAAATTTCCCAAAAATCCCAAAAGGGAAATTTATAAATTTTGAAATTTCCTATATATTTGTGTTTAATTTGATGAAAAATAATCATTTCCAATGAAAAGAAAAAAATTCCCTAAAATATCCCAAAAGGAAAATTTTATTTTTTTATTTATTTTACTCCATGGAAAATTTTAATGTTCTCTAAATTATTAAATTTAATTTAGAAATATATTTTTTAATATAATTTATTTCCAACTTATTATTTTTGAAATATATAAAAAATAAATAGAAAAAATGTCTTCACTTACCTTGCAACCTTCACACGAGTGAACACCATAGTGAAAGCCAGAGGCCTTATCACCGCAAACACGGCACAAGACGGTGGTGCCATCAAATTCTGAAAGAAAGAAAAATAAACAACAAATACAATTAAAATTTGTTGATTCGGCTTAAAAAAAATAACATTTTTCTTAATTTTTTGTGTCAAATAAAATTTAAATTTAACAATGTTTTTCAATATTTTTTTTTTATTTATTTTTTTCAAAACAACCTTTAAATTTTTTCAAATAATTATATTCAATTACATTTTTTTTAATTTTTACAAATATTTTTTTTATTCTTTATTTGTTTTCAAATAATTTTTATTATTTTTATCACATTTTTTTACATATTTTTTAATTTTTTTTTTTCAAAAATTTACTTTCATTTTTTTCAAATATTCTTTCAATATTTTTAGTTCTGTATTCTTCGAATATTTTTTTTTTATTTATCGTTGATTTTTTTCTTCGAATATTTTTTTATTTTTCAACTATTTTTTATATTTTTATTAATTAGTTTTTTTGATTTTTTTTAAATATTTTTTTTAAATTAAGTTTTTCTCATTTTCCCCCGAAAATCCCTTTCCTAAAAATTAAATCCCCACTTTTACTTTCAAACCCAAACATGATTACTTTCAATTTCATGGCCCATAGCCAGCAAGCCAGCCAAGCCAAGTCAAGCTCTTTCTCACACACTCACTCATTAAACAACAACAATTTCTCGACGACCTTGTATGTTAGCACGCACGCACAACGAAGAAAGTCTTAAAAGAGAAACAATGAAAGAAAAACAAAACAAAGAATTCCCCTCTACCAACCATTCAAACCTATTACATAACTTTCTCCGCCATAAAAAATACTACCATTTTTCATTCATAAAAAAACGAGTTTTGTTACCATACCCATTGACTGCTACTACTACCAAGTCGAGCTCAAGCCGGCCGACGAAGAAAGTCCAAAACATAATTTCGAAAAAGAAAGAAATTTCTTTACACACACACAAAGAAAATTAAATAACGATCATCATCCCATTACCAAACAGAACTGGTTGTGACGAGAATCTTGTTGGAAGGCTGCGTGTGTGTGTGCCTGTGTGTTTTGGTTTGTTTGTTTGATCATCAAAACAAAAGAAAGTCTTTCTCCTCGGCTGTGTAGACGAATTCTGCCGAGAGATGTTAATGGGAGAGAGTTGTTGTTTATCTTCTTTCTCTGTTGAATAAGAGTTCTAATTTTAGTGTGGGTTTGTGAGTGTGTGTGTGTTTGCATGGGAAATACCGAGAATAACCAGCATGAAAGAAAGTTGTTGTTGCTGTGCCATGTTTGAACTTGAAATTTCTTCTTCTTTGTTGTTTTTTTCATGTGTTGTGTTTTTAATAATTATGTTAATAAAATCATAAAAGCAAGCAAGCAAGCGACCTTGAAAAAAATGTGATACGAATTTTTGGGAGAGAGGGAGCGAGTGATACATACATTAAAGCAGGCTCGGGCAGAGCATACAAATTCTGTTCTCACGCACTTGTCTTTGTGTGTGTGTCAATGGGTTTTCAATTGGTTCAGTTGAATGTGTGTGAGAGAATAGTGATATTTACTCTCGCGAGAGTGCTCGCGTGCGGTGCTTCGCCCGACTGTGCATTAAAGAGAAGTAATCATTAATAGAAGAGGACTATTTTTTCTTAGAACAAATTCAATGGCTGAAGGAAAATTTTTTCCTATAGGAAAAAAACTCATAGACGGGGATCGATTTTTTCTATTACAAAAAAAAAAACAACTGCAATTGAGAAAAATTTTAATTGAGGATTTTTTTTTCATTACGAAAAATCAAAAAAACTTTATTTTTGTTTACAGATAATTCTTAATATTGATGAATATTTTCATGTAGAAAAAAAGTCTTCTCCACTAGTTTAGAATTTTTTGGTTCTATAAAAAAATTGCTTTATCATTTTTTTTAATTGCAAAAAAATATTTATAAAAAACTGGTAATTTTCTTACTATAGGAACATTTTTCTATACAACACATTTTATATAAAAAAATTTTGTTCTATAGAAAAATATTTTTCTTAGCATCTTAGGATTTTTTTTCTATACCAAAAAATATTTTCTTCTAAAGAGAAAAATTTTGCGGTTTGAGATTTTTTTTAAATATAAAATAAACATATGTTTTCTTAAAAATTATTTTTCCTCTCCCTTTGCCTTCTCTCTCTCTTTCTGTCTGTCTAGTTTACTAGTTTAGAATTTTTTTGTTCTATAAAAAATCGCTTTAGCAAGTTTTTTTAACTGCAAAAAATATTGAAAAAAACTGGTGATTTTTTTACCATTGGAAAAATTTTCTATTCTTTATAGAAAAAGTAGCAGAGATTTTGTTCTACAAAAAAAATAAATATTTGTCTCAGCATCTTAGGATTTTTTTTCTATAAAAATATTTTTTCCATAGATAATTTTTTTTCGAATTGAGAATTTTTTTAAAATATAAATATTTATTCTTTAAAAATATTTTTCCTCTCCCTTTGCCTCCTCTCTCTGTCTGCCACAAAGTTTCTCATGAAGTGCAAAAAAATAATTACAAGTTCAATGACGGTCTCGCTTGAATGCCACAACGCGTGCATGCCCAAGCACAGTTCATTGACATTTTACATTTTGAAATCTGTTGTTGTTGATGTGTTTTTTTTATTGAGATCATTGCACTTTTTTTGAACAATTACCCTTGGCTGCAACAGGCTGGCAGGCAACACCATCATGATCATCATTAAGACCTGCATGAATGCCATCCCAGCAAGCAAGCAACCAACCGAACAACCATCATGCCACACATAATCAACAGCATTGGAGCGGCGAAATTGAAAAAAAATAAATAAAATATTGCAACAACAATTGATGCCTATATGAGGATGGATGTGTATAAGTTTTGCTACAGGCCAGCAGCATACACACAGGTTACATGCAACGTCTGGTATTATATTTGCAACATTGTATGAAAATAAGGAGTAAATTGGAGAAGGAGTGAGAGGAAGAGAGAGAGCCTGCGAGAGATCATTAAAAACATATCTGTTTTATTTATTTATTGTTAACGATGACTGTTTACCGATTTCAAGAGTATGATATGGAGTATGAAAAAAGCTTACAGCTCATACACAACAACCCAACACCATGAGGTTCGTTGTGGATGCCTGAAGATGATGGCATGCAGACCCCAAACATATAGCATTGCTATATTCAGTGTCAATGTGAACGCCACAAAAAACAACAACACAACAATTTTTTGTTGTTGTCATTGTTGTATGCATTGGCAAAACTAGGCACAACAAAAAACGGCGTCAGGCACCAACCAGCCAACCAACCACTCTCTGCTGCATTTGCTGCGTTCATTGCCCTCCTCTGTTAGCTTTTTATGGCGGTTGTAGTAAATTTTGTGCGTATATTTGGATTTTTTTCTGCAGCAGTTGCTATTGTTGTAGTTGTTGTTGTTATTTTTGTGGTTTTTCTTTTATGAAATTTTTATTCATTCAATAAAAAAATTGTTTATAAGTTAATGGGCATTTTGCAATAGTGGGGATGGGGGCAAGAGGGATGGTGTTTTACTGCCAATCCAATGAAAAGTGAAATTTTCTTTTTGGTGGGGTTGAATGGATGGATGGATAGATGACGTTGCTGCATTGAAAAGTGAAATTTATTGATTAAATGCCAAAATATCAAGAAAAAACACACAAAAATTGCATACAAATTTATGGGCAATAAATGAATGAAAAATTAAAAAAAAAAAAATAAATTGATAAAAATAATATAAATAAAAAATAAATAAAAAGGATTGAAGTATAAAAAATATTTTAAAAAATTAAAATTTTTTTTTTGTATTTTAAGTGATTATTTTTATACTCTTTCGAGTCGAGCTTGATGATCTAAATTTTGCAATGAAAAGGAAGCCATCAACACTTCCAAAAACGGTTGCGCAAAAACATGTGTATACCAGGAAGCAATTGTAGGTGTGTGGATTAATTATCCATCGCTACAACAAATCTGCTTTGAAAAGGACTGTTCCTAGAATGAAGACAAATGTCGAACTTTGACAAATTTGAATTTAATTTATGCAAGTTTCGCATCAGGGCGGAATAAAAAAGTTATCAACGTACGACCTTTGTAAAGCCACATAGCCCAATATGCCTGAAAAAACGGCGAAACGCGTCGCATAATGGTTTTTTTCTCCTGGCTTTCCTTTTCATTGCAAAATTTAGATCATCAAGCTCGACTCGAAAGAGTATAAAAATAATCACTTAAAATCACTTTCAAATGATCACAAAAATTCAAATAACAAAAATTTTTTTTTTGTAAATAAAAAATTAAAATTTTTTTGTAAATAAAAAATCAAAATTTTTTGTAAATAAAAAATCATTTTTTTTCTGTAAATAAAAAAAATAAAGTTCTAATTTCAAGGCCTATAAAAGGCGTGGATTTTTAATATAATTTTTTGGAGCTCCATATAAGGCGTGGATTTTTATACCCTTCACAACACTCTGGTGGTACAGGGTATTATGTCTTTGGGCATATGTGTTTGTAACAGGCAAAAGTAAACGAGATAGACACATGGTTCCTTTTGAGAATATGCATAGTATCACTTTCTGAGTCGATTTATGCATGTCCGTCTGTCCGCCTGTCTGTCACATGTATTTTTGTAAACAAAGTACAGATCGCATTTTTTATTCGAATTGGATGAAATTTGGCATAGGTCACTTATTTGGCCCAAGTACGAACCCTATTGAAATTGGAAAAAATCGCTTCAGATTTAAATATAGCTCCCATATATATTTTCGTCCGATGTAATGTAAATGGTGCAAAAACGTCCCTATATATCTTTCGATTTACATGAAATTTGCCATATCGTACTAAATTAAGTCTAGAATGATGTGTGCTAAGTTTCATAAAAATCGGTTCAGATTTAGATATACATACCATATATATTTTCGTCCGATTTAAGGTAAATGGTGCACCAAAGTCTCTATATATGTTTCGATTTACACGAAATTTGGTATAGCCTACTGAATTAAGTCTAGAATGATGTGCGCTGAGTTTCATGAAAATCGGTTCAGAT